TGGGTGTCTTCTTTGGGCACGCATCTGCCTTCACTAGCTCCTGACCCCACTTTCAGACAGAGATGGGTGACAAGTGGCATCCATGCCACTCCAAGAGTCGTAAGTAGCAGTCAGCCATCCCTCTGTGGAACTCTCACTTTGCGTGTTTGTCTTTCTATTTTCCTTTTTGCTCACTCCCATTTCCTACTTTTTGCTTCCTCTCCCCATACATTCATACCCTGGGACATCACTTAGCATCTGCCGCTTGGCTCTTAGAGGTCCACTTCCCTAGTGAATCCCTTACATGATACCCTAACCCCCTTGCTGTGAAAACTGTTTCTTTGCCTATTGGTAGCTATGAGGCCCAGTTGAATATCTGGTCCTAATACACAAGAGGAAGCTTACTTGTCACAAGATGTTTGCTCTGAGGCTGGATCAAACCCAGGCTCTAGGAGGTGGGGTGGGGGGAGGAAAAGGCCATGTCCATGGCCTCTATGTGCCTTGGGCTATGGAGCACCCCATCCGCACCAGGCCTTCTGGGATGAATGAGCCGAACCAGCAGCTCAGGCCTGGGCCATAAGCAAGTAAGGACCCAGGAAAGGAACATTGTTGCTTTGTCTGGTTTAAGCACTCAGCTGTGTGCAGGTCAAACAAGAGGCCCGGCAATGTGGCCTGGCCCCTGCCTAGGCTTTCATCCACACCTTTGCAAAGCCAGGGAACGGGGGCAGAAAGGCAGAGCTTGCTTTTCCCCCAGTGCACACAGAAAAGCCTCCCTTAACACTGCCCAACGGGCAGTGAATCTCACCTCGCCCTGATGTATTGGAGCAGAAGAGGAAAAGGCAGGCCCTAAATGCCAAGGCAAGGAGAAGTGTAGCCTGGCTGTTCTCTGGGCCGGAGCACGTGACTGCGGTTCTCAGGCCCGGGGGGACCAGGAGCCAATTCACGGGGGAGGTGTAGGAAATGCAAAGTCGGCTGTCTACTCACCACGTTAAAAATGTCAAGAACAAGGCAGGGATAACGCAAGGGGAAGAGTGCCTTCTGTTTCGTGGGAGGCGGGTTACAGAATGTTAGCATCACACGTTTGCTTTCACTTACCTGCTTGGTTGCAAGTCCAATCTGCCGTCTGCTGCAGCGCAGCAGAACTGAGAGGAATGCAGCACCCAGCAGCCCGACCCCACTCACGCAGTTCTGACGCCACCGTCCTGTGCTCCAGAGAGCTCTCCTGCCGCTGCACTGACAAGTTTAGAAAGCGAGTCAATCCAGGCCTGCCCAGGGGAACTGAGCTCTCACAGGCATGGCTTGTCTGGCGAAAGGCAACGAGGAGCAACTGAGGCTGCCAAGGAGCCTATGTGATCGGCAACATCAAGACACCAAGCTTGCGTCAACTTGGCATTGTTTTTAAAAGACGCAGAGCTCCATTCTCTGTTTCTTATCCCTGCCGCCCTGATGCAGGGGCCTTCCTGAATTTACAGGGGATGAGATCTTCCAACCCGAAGAACTCTATAAATTATTTCTACCAACGCCACATCTTGCTGGCCAATGGCTGAAAAGCGGCAATGCCCAAACTGCAAATGCACACCTGCCACTCTCAGCAGGAACCTAGGAGACACTCCTGGGAGAAAGGGACTGGGCCACTGCCTTAGTTTTGATTCCTGAAACAAGAATCTTGATGCACATGTTTATAGAGGATACGATCCCAGGTAACACAGTGGGGAATTAGGGCGGCAAGACAGAAGAGAGCGGCTAGCCAATAAAGGGGGTGTTGATGAGCAGGACGCTGCTGCGAGCAGTTGGGGTTCATGGCCACTGGAGTTCCTCTCAAAGGCTCAGTGGGACACATCTCGAGTTTCCTATCAGAAAGAACCTGAGACATTTTTCCACCAGCTCCATCCTTCATTGGTTAAGTGTTGCTCCAGGCACCTTTGACTCTAGGGCTGCTCTGGGCTGCCCCACGAAGGAGCTCAGCAAATTCCTGTGGAGCCATCCAGACAGAGCCACCAGGCAAAGATGCAGAAGCTTGAGGTGAGAAGCCATCATGTGTCCGTGAAGCTGCAGATGACCTTCAAGGGGATCTGTGACAGCCATGGTGACGATAATGTCTCCTCCTCACTTGTGTGCCCAGGCATGTGTGTATGTGTGCACAAGTGTGCACACGCGCACACACACACACGCACACACACACACACGCATATCACTCTCTCTCCCTCTCATTTGCACCATCTTACCCCGGCCTCATAAACAGTGAGCTCCCAATCGCCTCAGCCCTGCTGAGCCACGCAGCCGTGCCTCGCCACACAAGCAAATGCCACATACAAGATGGCAGCATTTGCAGCCTCCCAGGCCCCAGCTACTCCAGCGTGAATCCATGGCAGCTTCTGACTTCAGAGTAATACAGAGTAATGGGGAAAAGTGGCACAGATCTCAGGAGTTTGAGGTTTCTTATCTCCCGTTCACCAGCAATTTACTTAGCTGATGCTAAGGAAGTTATCTAAGCTTTTTAGAATTTAGTTTCCCCATCATTAAAACTAGAGCAAAAACACCTGTCCTATTTACCTCCAAGAGTTGTAGAACGACTCAAAGGAGCCGATTCATGTACATGAAAGCACCTTCACAGGTAGAGATGCTCCTTGCAAAGCCTTACCCTGCTCAGCCCTAGCCTCAGTACATTGGTTTCAGGCCGTGAGGCAGGGCCCTGCTGCCTGACTTCCCAAAGCCTCCCTTTCCCTCACCCCCAAGGGCAGCATTCTGCCCTGGGAGCCCTGGTCTAGAGGAAACTAGGCCTTCGCTTGCAATAGGTTCAGGCAGACCAAGTTGAGGAGCAGGCCCCTCGTGGAGGGACACGAGAAGTCCCCTTGGGATGGGCAGAACAGGCTTGCTGCCTCAGTGGTGCCCGGCCCCTTCTGTCTCTTCATTTGCCCTGTGTCAAATAGCAAATTCCAGAGTCACTATGCAAAGTGGTGGATGGAGCCACACAACTTCCCCCAAATATTAATAGGAACCAGTGAGGGCGTCAGCTGTTGTGCCTACTACCTGTCATTAAGGCCGTGTGATGTCAGCAGAGAAGCAAGTGTCAGCTGGATCAGACCCCTCCAGCTAAGCCAGGGAGCATTTATCAGTCACTCAAGTCAGCTGCCCTGAAGGGTGAGCATGGTACCCAAGGGCTGGAAAAACTGACAATCCTGGAAGAGGACTCAACGTTTATCACACACTCACGTATTGCAGTTGATGCTCCATTCTGTAATGATGCGAACAAAACCCATTGTAGTATTCACTGTGGACCCCGCCAAGGTCCTTGGGGAGTGAGAGCTGGGGAGAGGGTGCCCAGCCCTTCTACACAGGTTCAGAAAGAAAGGCTCTTACAATCATGCAGTTAAAAATAATGGAAGCAAATTCACCGGGACAGAAACGTTTGTAGGGGAGAGATTTGAGGGAGATTCTAAACAGTTCCCAGAATACATTCCCGTGTAAACCCAAAGAATGCTAATGGAGGAAAGCTACCACTGGTTCTCTCTTTTCAGCCAAATAATATCCTCCTGCTGGAACAGAGTTGTTCTTGGCACTTGGGAGCAAATGTGAGGAGGGAATCAAAACACAACGCCTGAGAAAGGAATCCATAAGAAATGTGCAGGCAGGGACGTGGTGAGAAATAACAAAGAAAGACAGGTCAGTGGCAGGAGCAAAGATTAACTGTACCAGAGAACACGGTGACTTGGCTCTGGAAATGGGGTCCAGTGAAAGCAAGAAATGCTGCAGAGACACAGGAGGGGTCCATCACCTGCACCCCGGGGCTCAAAGGACGGCCCCTGCCCCTGTGCCTGGCAGCCCCTCGACTGGCTTCTAGAAGAGGAGGCTCAGCCCCAGCTACCTCCTTGCATCCGATCTCCAGGTCGGATCAGCGCGGCTTCATCCTGGGATGCAAAAGCTCTGCCCCTGTGAACGGCCAACACAGAAAGCAGCGAAACCTGGTAGAGAGAGTGTTCTCTTCCCTCCACCCTCCCTTTCAACCAGAGCTGCCTCCAGGGGACTTTGGCAAGTCTGACAAATGGCAGAAGAATTGAGAAGAATTTCTTCGCTGGCAAAGGGAAGCTGATGATTGGGCACAAACGTGCTCCCGCAGCTCTTTGTCCAGTGAAACTCTAGACATGTCAGATTCCTTTCCACTCTTTTCACGTTTAATCGCTTGGCTCCCATGTGCCAGCTCCTCGAGTCTGCAGCATTTGGGTACAGGATACTCAGTCCTCTGCCGTGACAAGGGCAAATGCATCACACACGCCATACGTTGCAGCTGGGGCATCGCTGTGTCAACATGAGTCACCAGGCAGAGTCGGCTGCCCGACATGGAAAGCCCTGAGTCAGGGAGGACTCACAGACACCACTGCCCACTGTTTACGCAAGCACATGCTCCACGGGGCCCCAAGCTGTTTACGAGCCATTGGCTCATTCCTCATCATGTTGCTTGGAGGGAAAGCAAAAGGAGGGGAAAGAGGAAGGGCAGACATCATCATCTGTGGCTTACATGGGGAAACTGAGGCACAAACAAGCCCCGCAGTGAACTGCATTTATGAGTCAGACATGGCCCATGGAGCGGGCTCTTCTGAATCCTAAATGGACTATTTTCTTGCCCAGCTATTTCGTGCAGCTTCTCCAGCGCAACAGTTTAGACACAGCAGCCTTGCGACAGGCCAACGGAATACAGACTGGCTGCATTCTGTTTGTCGCTAGTTTCCCACCTCTCATCCCAACTCTGACACTTGCCCCATCTCTGAATTTGATGGACCCGTTTTTTGACTTTAGAGCCCGCTCCTGACGCTCCTGGAGTTCCGCTCTGCTCCCAGTTCTGACGGTTCCCTCGTTCCTGACGTTTATGCCATTCTTGACCGTTCCCTGATTCCTCATATTTCTCCCATTTTGAATCTCTACCAACCCTGTCCCTCACCCGTCCCCAATGCATACACCCTCAATGCCCAGATGTAGGCTGGACGGTGAGGGGAAGCTCACAGATAAAGTGCAAAATGCCCATTTTACTCATCATTTATTTTTTTCGAAAGCTGAGCATTTATCAGCAGAATTTTGGGGACATATCAAAATATCCTCATGTCAAAATAGCTGCAGTAAAATGGCTCTGTTAAAATAGCTGCCTGCAAAGAGCTGAGAGTCTAGATGTCACCTGCTCTGCCACCTGACTCTGGCCCTCCTTTGCGTGGCCTTGCCTTCTGTTCCGCCATGTTCTGGTGTGTGGCTCATCAGAAGAGGCGTGAACACCAGGGCCGCTTTTTATCCTGCTGTTCCAAGTGAGGACTATGTAGGTGTCACAGATGAAACTCGTCCAGGAGCTAAACAGGATGCTAATGGCACGGCCACGTGTTTCTCCACCGCACCGTGAGGCAGCCTGGCTAGCATCAGTCCCTCTCCCCAACCTCCTTCCTGCCCCCATCCACCCACGAGCTCTTGTTGGGTCAGAAATGCAATCCTTTGATAGTGCCAGACAGCCAGATGATGCTGGAAAGAAGAAAGAAAAAGCAAAAGCAGGTTTCTAAATTAAGCACAAAGCTCGTTTATAAAAATAAATAGCCACAGCCTAGCAACGTGCTCACAGCTCAGCTTCCCTCCATGATGAAACCTCTGTGGCTGGAGCGGGGATGACACACACTTCCGAGGGCCCCATGCCCCACCCTTCCCCCTGCATAGTACTCATCTGCAGGGCATGGACTGTGGCCCTTAGTGGGCCCTGCTCCTCACTCAGGGCCAACTAAGGGCCAGACTATAAAGAGCAGAAGGGAGCCGGAGCCTCCCAAACTTAATGCGGCCCATGAACACCTACAGACTCTTGGCAGTAACTAGCACACCTGAAGCAAAAGTGGATAAAGTTCCCTGGGCTGCTGTACTGAAATGAGAGCTCCTCCTTGAAACCATGTCTTCTATGCTCACCACTGAATGCCCGGTACCCAACTGAGCACGTGTGTGTGCGCGCACGCGCACACACACACACACACACACACACTCAACACTCCATAACCAGGTGAGGAAAAACTGAATGGGGGCATGAATGAATGAATGAATGAATGCTGCCATCCCATCATCAATGCTCCCCAGACTCTCCAGCCCAAATGGAGTGAGCTCCACAATCCAAAGACAGGCATTCCTGATTATGACGTGCACTAAAGAGACAGTGTCCGCTGAGCTGGGTGTTTAAATCTGAGCCCACAGCTGAAGTGCACACCTGGAGGTGTGTAGAGAGTGTGGGCTTGTACTGCCTGGGTGCAGGAGGTGTGGCTGTCACAGTGGGGAGGGGCAGAGGGTGTGGGATATGCAGTTGGTAACAATTGTTAGCATTCCTGAATATTCTCTCATTCTTTAGGCAGCAGAAGCTCCAAGGGGGAGGTGTTGCTAAGCAAATAAACTACAGGAAAAAAATAGCACATTAGCTTTCTGGGTTTAGCTTCTTGGGACACAAAAAGTGGGGCCCATGATGCCCTTGGAGGCTCAACAGGTCAAACGCATCAGGAATGGGCATGATATGAAAGACCTAAACCTGCCACCCACCCTCCCGAGTCGTGAATGGTTGAGCAAGGCTGGGTGATGCGGAGGCAGCCCTCACAATACTGCGAATGTGATCATTCCGAATCCCTAAGGATCCCAGTGAGGCTGCAGGGACGACGTGTCTGCATCTTGACCCCTTGGAGGAGTTGCTTCTGTGAGCTTCCACACATTCCCTAGCGATCAGAGTGGCTGAGGACAGCATGTCCCTGTCATAAATGGCCATCTCAGAGCAGAGGCGCTTGGTCATAATACTAAAAAGATCAGAGAAATTGGCCCACAGCATCACTCAGAAATCTGTCTTCAGGCATCCTTGTCTGGCCTCGCCAGAAACAGTAAAACCATATCCATGTCAGTGATAAAAAGATTCTTAGTTAGTATTCATACGTACGAAAATATAGTACTGGTCTATTTTTGGAATAATCCCCTGTAGGGGACAGAAAATCTAAACAGCAACGACAACGGTACAATAGCGTCCGGCTTCACGTAATGGCATACAACAGAAGAGCATGAGTCCTCGGAGACTTCGAGACTCCTGGGTTATTTCAATCCCACAGCCTCCCAGGGCACCGAAGTCACAGCCCTGGAACATTTAGGAAAAGAAATTCTGATTAAGACATAGCCCCAGCAGAGAGTCAGTGTACGCACTGGCCAGGTTACCCCCGGATCTCAGTGACATCTCTGTGGTGGCACTGAGGGAAGCCCTCTCCCGAGAGGGCCAACCACAGTCCTGCCCCACAAGTGAGGACACAGTGTGTTCCCTGGCTCCCTAATGCCCCAAGCCCAGGACTTCTGCTTCAGACATGGCTGCTCAGAGATGAGACCCACTGACCCATTCTCTCTAGAGGCTTCAGAGATCCCTGAGAACAGAGTCCAAGGTTCAGCTCTGTGACCCTAACTACGCGGAGGCTCAGTTCCTCGTTCATAACATGGAGAGAGTAGAAGCTCTATACTTTCTCCCTACCAAGATCATGTGAGGATCAAAAAAAACATTGCCACATTCAAATACTTCCCAATCTGCAAGCTCTTGTTCTATGTGACCATGTTTTATAAAACTGTAAAGGTATATGGTGAGAAGTTTGCTTCTGACGTGGGGATTGAGATTCCCTGTGTTGCAAATTTTTAGGGTACCGCCCAGGTCCATCCTAGCTGTAAACCTAATTTTTTGCAGCATCCCCTGGCCAACTCCTTGGCTTCATATACTAAAGACGTATAGCATTTTTTTTTATTGTGTTTTTGTAACTGCTTCCTTCCTCTTATGATCCCTTAAAAAGTACTGGAATTCTAGAATGCGTGAGGAAGCTTTGGGGTTACACAGTCCTCCCTTCGCTTTGGCGATGGAGGCACAGAAGGCTGGGCACTTGTCCAAGGTCACCTGTCCTGGGCTCCTGCCACAGCCTGGTGGTGTCTGCTCTCCAGTGGGTCTTGGAGGGCCACAGTTCAAATTCTGCTCTCCTGGAACTGGGACGTCCATCTTCTGCCCAGGACATCAGAGCTCCAGGTTCTCAGATCTTTGGATTTCAGGGCTTACACCAGTAGCCCCTTGGTTCTCAGGCTTTTGGCCTTGGACTGAATTACACCATGGGCTTTCCTGGGTCAGCTTGCAGACGGCACATTGTGGGACTTCTCAGCCTCCATAATTGTGCGAGCCAATTCCCATCACAAATCCCTTCATAGATAGACAGATACATAGATACATAGCCCACTGGTTCCTTTTTCTAGAGAACCCTGACTAATATAGATTTTGGTGCTTCCCTCCCTCCATAATTTCCAGTGAGTAACTGTTACTTAAGCTAGGTGTGTCATTTAGGATGTGCGGGTGGGGAAAAGGAGGAAGGCAGACAGCTAAGGGCACTCAGGGAAGAGGTGCCTCTGGTGATCATGATGGCTCATCTTAATAGATTACATCTTTGGAATTCGCCTTTTATTTTTGGAAAATAAATATATAATCATTTCATTTTTGCAGTTATTCATAATAATTTGCATCTCCCAGAAATGATAGATTACATTCATGCAAAGCATCTATGCATCTAACATAAGTTGTTGTTGAGTTGTTTTAGAAGAATGTGTTAAGAAGGGAACTATGATTTATTGAGTGACAGTCCTTCTACCATCTGCTCACCTTCTTCTCTGCAGATGATCTTATGTCTATCCAGTAAAACAACTGAGATTATTTTATGTAAAATCCTTGCCCCCTGCCCCTTCACCTACCTACCCATATGAAGCCAAGGGTCTTCTCCTTCCCTGACACACATACCACCTTTCCTTATGAGGAAGAGTCTTTTGTTCTGCCTGTGACTATAACTCTACCTGTGTGCTAGGCATAGGGTCACCAACCATCCTGGTTTGCTTGGGACTGTGTGACTACTGGACACAGGACTTTTATTACCAAAATTGGGAACATCTCAGGCAGACTAAGACAAGTTGGTCACTCCAGTAAGCCCCATGTTCTCTCTCAGGGACCTTTCCAAACAAATCATGATTGAATGAATTGAGGATACCAAATAGTACCAAATTGCTATGTGAGACTGGAGGTCAGGAAGAACACTGGAATGAAAGAATGAATAAAATGTAGTGATTTTATTTTAATGAAAAGATCCATGAATAAGGGGAAAAACCAAGAGGAGGATATCCTACTATCCAGGTGAGCAGAAGAGCAAAAAAGTTACATTAAAGAATTCATATGAAGATATAAATCCCATTCATCAAAAAGAAAAAAGCTTGATGGTAAGTCAGGGGTGATCTATATAAGATCACTAGTGCTTCCCATGTTTTACCTTCATGTCACACATTTAAAAAAAATTATATTATCTGCAGTGTGGGTTAAACTGAAGGGAGAAGCCATGTATGGCCACAGGTGACCATCTGTGGAACCTCATGACCACAGAAACCATCCAGCTCCTCCAAGGACTGAGAAAGTCAGTATCTCAGCTCACATGTGACCCACAGACCACACACCACTGTGTGGCTGGTTGGGAACGTTTGAACTACGTGATGACATAAGCATGCAGGTCTAGACTCTACTCCATCACAAATCTGACATCTTGATCCACGTTCTCCCTAGGTTTCTGGTGAAACTAGGAAAGCCTAGGAGGTCAAACTCTCTCTGATGACCCAATATTGCAAAGCTTCCTCAAAGGGCATTTCCTGCAGTGGGGTTGGTGTGGGTTCCTATTTATATTTCCCCTTCCTTGGTCCAGATTTATCCCATTAGTGTGTAGAGTTGCAGCTTGAGTAATGACTTAATGACTCAATGTCTCGGGGTAAGAGGGTAAGTAGCCTATGCCACACTCGGCCCACACTCATTGACCTGAAACGGGGTTAAAAAATTTTTTTAATATATTGCCAAAAATTTAAAAATTCAAGGAAACTGGCTCCTTTCAGAAAACGAGATCTGGCAGCCTGAGGCCATAATTCCCCTCACAACCACAATCATCTGAGACAGAGTTCCTGGAGAGTGTAGCAGATAGGTGTGTGGGCTGCCAGAGTTCAAATCCCATGCCTACTTCTCAAAGATCAGCATATTCATGACCTTAACCTCTCAGAGGCTTGATTTCTCAACTGTAGAGACCGTGTTAAACTAATAGTATTTATTTTTGTGTACAAAAAATGTTTGAAACAGTGGCTAGCCCATAATAACCATTTGATAAATGTTAATGGCTATCCCCAGCCCCCTTACACAGGTAGCTTTGCTATTTTTCTTACCTTCATGGCCCCAAGAACATAACAGTGAAGGAGCTCAGGAAATTTCACTCAAAAATACGGCTCCTTGGAATAAAGTGTATTTGAATTAAAGGCCTTTAGAGATCAACAGGCCTTGGAAGGGACATTCCCTCTTTCTTCATAAAAAACCAGACCCATCAAAAGAAGAATCAACTTCCCTTTCCTTCCCTGTTATCTCAATATATTACAGGAAAAAAGATTAAGAATGCAACCAGACCTGGCCCAATCATTTTAAATATAA